ATATACATATACATGCATGCATGCAGACTTACGTACTTACATACATAGGTGCGTACGCACATCTGTACGAAAATATCTGTATCCATAGGTGTCATATGTGTACACTTGTACGCAGACATACAGGTTACAGAAACTCTGCCAAACCTTAGACCTCCTGAGCCCCAATTCCTGACCTTCGAACGCAGTAGACTTTCTGCCGAGCTGATAACTAGACCCTGTTCAAACACCTTGTCTCAGAAATCCAGATTCTGGAGCCGTCCGTTGCTTATTACTTTCCAGCGGCCACTGCAGCCAGCTTCGCCGCCTTGGAGACAAATCTTCGGGCCGGCTGTCAGGTTAAGGGTTCAGACACCTCGTCACGGTAAACATGACGACTTGAAGGAGGCTCGAGCCTAACGAGCCCACTTCCAACATAGATGTGAGCGTCTGCGAATATTCTGTCTTGCACAGGCCAGCAGGCTGCACCCGAGGGATCTGAAAACCCGGTAAGGGACAATAGAAAGAGCCGTCCACTCCGGTGCTCCTGCCTTCTCTTTGACGTCCGACATGCCTCCGATCATGTAGAAGGCAGCCTGCACAAGTAACTTGCTTTCGGGTGAGCGGCTCGATTTCTGGATTCCTGACACCAGCACGACCTGATGTTCGGGTTTAGCCTCTGGGCCCTCCAACTTTGTGCACACGCTGCAAAAGCAGCTGATCGAAAGCCGCGCATCGCAAACCCACAGAGACAGGAACGAAGCTTGCGTCAGGCTTTACCGCCGCTCAACCCAAGGCAGAACCCTTCTGAATTAACGGCCTCAAGGACTCGACCTCTGAAACCTGCTGCACCCCGAAGCTCCTCTGGGATGTCGTCGCAATTTCCGGACAAAACTTCTTCGAAGTCGTTGATCCTCGGAGCAAAGGCATCGGGAAGCAGAAGTCAAAGCAGGTTCAAAACCTGAAGCTCTTGAACAGCTCAGGGGCGTATGCGTCTTATAAAGCCACCGACATTTTGGGATTTTCAGGGAGTGACTGGACAAACCTCCAGAGTGCTTCCTAAAGCCAAGAGCTCAAGATGCTACAAGTTTCTGAACCCTTGCCCCTTTGAGCCAAGGGCAAAGCGGCGTACCTGTGGTATACTTGTCTTTTACCACTATTTGGCCCATGAGGGACCTGGGTAAAAGCAACCAAAACAAGCCTCTGCCGCCTCTGCCAGCCCGAAATCCGAAACACGGGACCGCCCTCAACATTCCCGAAAATTGAATCCTCGACCTGCGCATGAGCCCCAGACGTGGTCTCCAGGTCCACGAAGGCCCCGGGGGTGCCCGTGAAGATCTCGGCCACGAAGAAGGGCTGTGACAGGAAGCGCTGCACCTGCATGAACGCTTGGTGGGCTCGTTCAGTTCGTAGGTTTTGGAAGGTTTTGGAGTTCAGGACTTCGGGCTTTGCAACTTAGAAAAGGGTATGGAAACCTGGAGCTTCCAGGGGATGTTGGAACTTGTCGGCTCCGTTGAAAACAGGCCCGGTGCCAATGTCTGAAGTCTTAGGCCACTGCAACAGCCAGTCTTCGGGCATCCAAAACCCACCCAAAGCCTTAGCCAAAGGAGTCCTGAATGCCAAAACCTAAACCCAATCCAAAACAACGCCGCGACAGTGAGTGCTGCCTTTCGGGCTCGTGCCACCGTCAGCTTGTCTTCCTCGCTAAGCTCGTCCATGCCAAGAATGGCAATGATGTCCTCAGGAGGGCAATTTTTGCGCGACTTTGAAAGGCCTGACCTTCTTGAGACTGACGGAGATTCAACACGCCTCTTACTCCTTTAACTGGAGCCTCGCCCCAGTGTTCCGGCTTTTGGATCAGCGCCATTACTGTTCTCATTGCTTTTATTCTAGTGTTGGTTTTTCAGCTGATAGTAAGGATGCCTTTGAACTGGTTGGCCGAGTGACTCCCCGTGAGCCTGAAGATTTTAGGAACTCTAGGACTCTAGGAATTTCCAGCATCAGAATTCACACTGGGGTCCTGCAGGGACTTATAGTCTTGGAGGATCTTCTGCGTGCTTCGTGCGATGTCGTAATGGCGCTGGCCCACAATGGATGGGTCCAACATACCTTGGAAGCCAGGGAGCGAAACGCGACCGAAGGAGCCTCTGTAGCTTCATTGCCTAGAGAGTCAGTGCGACCATACTCGGCAGTGATGCCGCTTTCTTTAAAGCAAGCTGCGGGAGGTCGAGTCCAGTGGATCCACTGCGGGGTAGATTCCCAACTCGGCGATCTGCCGCGACAGCACCGTCGTGGCGTCCAGATGGGCGAAGGTAGTAGCGGGGGCCGGATCCGTGAGGTCATCTGCGGGCACGTACACTGCCTCACCAGGCGCACAACACTGGACGCCCCTGACCCGAAAGGCGGTCGCCGTCTGAGTTGCAGCATCTTTAGACGAGAGCTCATAAATTTGAGAGTCGACGAAGCTTCTGATAATTGCGGCTGAAGGAAGCAGAGCACTTGGATCAGATGGCCTGCACGGACGTGATGGAGCCTTTCTGCGTGGTCGTAATACGCTCCTGTCGGTGGCAAATTCGTGACAACAAAATTCCGAAAAGAATCAACAACGCCGGACGACGAATGCCATCCTCGTGCCGGGGAACTGGGCCCGAATCCTCCCTCCCCCATTCTCTCAGGGATCCATCTAGTCTATCAACCGCCTTCCAGCCCTTAAGTCTGCGAACCCAGCCTCTGAGCTCTGATCTCCAAACACCCCGAATCACGAGTTTGATTAGGTACTCTCCTGTAGGGAGGCCAAGTCGGTGGCCAGCGTTGGCTGGTAGCCGACAGCGCTGGGGATACGGCCGAGCAAGGCAGACACCTGAAGGCTGTTCTCAGTGCGGGTGTTCCCCAAAAAGCCACAAAGATACCTTCGTTTCTCAAAGACACGAGTTCCACCCCAAACAGGGACCGCAGACAGACAGGCACAGACGGCTCTTCTCATGCATTCGGACGAATCCACCTCGGTATGAACGAGCCAGCAAAACGTGAAACCACGCAACAGCGACAGCAAATGCTCTGGTAGAAGCGAAAACCCCAAAAATTGCATCACCGCTCCGCACTGCCGGCCCAATTACATCTCCCAACCTCTGTGCAAAACCCTCCCGCAACTTCGAACCCCAAACCGTAAAGCCCATCAACTCCAAAATCATCGAAGAAGGGCTTCCGACCGGCGGGTGCCTCGGAGCCGGCCTGCGTGAAGCGGAAGATATTGTCCACGAAGAGCAGCACATCCTCTGACAGCTCATAGGAAGTGTAGGACTCACATGGCTTTAACGGTTCGGCATCGGGGATCACAGGCCTTTCCGTGCATGTCATGTAGGCTTCATTGCTTGTCTTTTGGGGGGTTAGGGCGGTTCTGCCTTTTGGGGTTGAGCTTCGGAGTTCAGCCGATCTTGTTGAGACCTCTGTCAAGGCTTGGTCTTTCCGATCCAGACTTCCTTCAGGATTCGGACTTGCATGCGACTGCCACACCTCCTTCCCCTGCTCCCCAAACCCTGAACCTTCTTAACCTCATGCTCGGAAACTTTGAGACCTAAACAACGCAGCTCACTGCAACCGTATGCTAGTGGGAGTCCTGACCCTCTTCGTCTCTGAAATACTCCGCCACGGTGAGGCCGGTAAGGGCCACCTGCGGCCAAGGGCTGTCATGGACATAATCACACCAACGAACCATGGGGCCAGTAAGAGTGACAGCAATCAATAAACGGTCCCGAACCCCAACCTGATACAAACACAAAGGGATCCTCGAAACCTCAACCCAACGCATCTGAAACCAGTAACTATAGATCTTGTGGCCGCCCTCACACAGAGACCCGCCAGAGTTTTATCGAAGTCGCGACTCCAAGTACAGTAAGCATCCCATGGGACCCATATCCTAAGCCCCCTAAGCCGTCTCGCCGAAGCACCCGTGCACGCGCTCCAGGCGGCTCGTTCATCTGGCCGTACACCAGCGCAGCCTGGCGCCACCATACGTGTAGCGGAAGGAAGAACCCTTCAAGACGCCAAAAAAGCACATAGGCAGCTTGTAAGATGCCCTGCATCGGACAGCAAAGCTGAACGAAAGCACTGAGCCTAAAACCCTGCTTTTGCTTTGCCTCCCGATTCCTCACTTCACCGACATCCGAAACCACATTAATTATAGCTCGACCGTCCATAAACTGGACTAGATTATGGCTGCGTCTAGGATGAGGAAAACACCCGCGCAGGCGAAAGAAGCTTCCCCGTCATCGTGAAGTAGATGAGGACGGTGAAACCGATTGCGGAATGCGGAGGTCGTCAAGTAGCTGAAGATTATTCAATGTGAAAAAGAGGCTGTTGACGAGGCAAAAGGCGAGGGCTGTAGGGGCCGTTCCGAAAGTTGCTTAGACCCTAGACCCTTAGCCCTAATTCCGGTATCGAACTCCGTACCCTTGGCTCCGGTGGCCTTGGATCCTGGGGCCTTGTCCTTCTTGATCACCTCGGTGTGCTCGGCTTTCTTCGTGGCTTCAGTTGGAGGGAACACTGCGTGAGGGCTTGGGCCGCGGTTTCAGAGATCCGCTACGTTTAGGCGCATCCCACGTGGCAGCGGAAGTTGCGTGTAAACCGCCACCTAAACAAACAGGTCTCTTGGTCTCTCTGGTTTCCAGCCTGTAGAATTTCAGAACTTGCAGATTTGGTTGGGCCTCTCAGTGCATATCAGCATGAGACGGCTTCAAACATACTTGCCATCTTTAGCATCCATCTTAGGTTTCCAAACTCCCAGAATCACATGCGACTTAAACCGCCGCAAGCCTCAACCTGTAATTATTGAATGACGAGGCGCTCCACTGGCCATCATCTCGTGGTACAGGTCATTGCCCTCACGTGTGCGCTCACCTGGCTCCGAAAGCGTTTAGGCGGGGCGCACTCCCGCTTCGCATCGGCTGTCGGGCGCAAGGGGAAGAAAGCAGCAGGTTACAGGTGGTTCGACATGTCACCTAATGCGCTGGCCGCTAGCCTGACTTCATGACAGGGGCTCTACTGCCAGGAAAGTTTTCGGTATTCCTGCCTGTAAATCTGGGTGAAAGCTGAGGTCAGACGAATCAGAATCATGCAGGACGGAGTCGCGGGGAGCATGTTTGGCAAGGTCACAAAATGCCACCCGAAATCTATTAGCAACTGCTACCTGCTAACACGCTGAAGTTTTGGGGTATGCATGGGGCGGGTTATCTTGCATGTTGTTTTGGGCCCGAAGCTTCAGGTCGGTCTTCCAACTCTCAGACTGAAGGCAGACTTCTGCTGAGCGCAGCCAGGGGCCAGGGGCCTACACCCGCGAAGACGCTGTAACCGCCGTGCTTCAGAGCCTGCAGCATGCGCAGGCTGCACCAGGACCTCACACCTAACTCCGTCTACACTAGAGTCCTCTCATGTCTACCTATTTGCACCCATCCCCTTGGGAGCCTATGACCAGCTACTGCATCGTTCCAGTCCGTGGACTGTTTTTTTTCAGCCCAGGACGGACCGACTCCTCAGACTATTCAAATGTGTCAGCATGAGGCCCGGGCCACCGGTGGGCAAAGCAAATAATAGGGTTTCCTTACGATGATAACTTGAAGCCTCATAGATCCCTTATTAAGGGAACGATTACAGATCCTTTTCAAGGTACCCTTGTTTCCCACAGCCGCCCCCGAAAAAAACTGTGAGCAAGCCGAACATTCGGAAGTTGCTTCGGCCGACCAAGCACAACACGACGAGCAGAGTCTAGGGAACGACGCTCATACGGGATCGTCTCAATTTGGGTGCAAGGCAATGTTGTGGATCAGCTCCATGATCACCACCTCAGGACTGATGCAAGCAAGGCATGCACATATTGAAAGCACAGAAACGGCGAAGATGCGTACCTGTTTGACATGCAAAGAACTTACCGAGCATGTCGCATCCGATTGCACCGACTGAGGGTGCGGGCCGTCTTGCCGACCCCGGCGCCGCCGAAGAGGCCGATCTTACCACCCTCAGCCAGCGGCAGAAGTTGTAGCCTATGGCCATTATGGCTAGCCTGATGAGTACCGATTGCTGTTCCTGACGATCGCATCATGATAGCCGACCATATCAGCACCATTCCCATCATCATCACCATCGCCATCATCATCTGCAGGGCTCCTGTCAACGTCAATGTCCATACCAACGGCAATACAACAGAAGTATCCTCACCCATGTCCCGGCCTCAGCTTATCCATCACCGTAAGCAGTGATCATCAGCATCAGATTCATCATTTAACATCCGCCTGCAGGGATCTAAGCTGCTTCTGCACAAAACCTATGCTCTAGACTCTAGACTTTCAAGACCCGCCCTTCCCGAGACTGTGATGCTGAGCCTTGGCGTACGGCGCCAACAGGTCCACCACCTGGCATAGAGGCTCGAGTCTTTGCACACATGCATGTCGCCCGCAGACCAGTTTTTCCGTTGCAGGATGTGGCTTCACGAACGACAACCATCGACTGTCTTGGCGGAAAAATCTCAGCGGCAACATCACTCACGAGAACCGAACATGACATACATTAAAGCCTGGTTGAAGGCTGCATCTTGCAACATGAGCGTCGTAATCCTCACTATGAGTGGCATGAAACCTGAGATAGGCGTTGTATATTGGAGAATGTCTCAAACAGCCGTGCAACAGAGGGTGCCAGGGCAGGCAGAACAAGAGAGGCAATCAACGAGTGCTGAATACAACAACCCAGAAGCACAAAAATCATCTCCATCTTACGAGCATTTAAAGCCAGTGGAATGCATTGCGGGAGCGCCAGATGCAACACCCTGCAAATGCTGGCAAGCATGACGAGGCCAAAAACAAAGCAACGTACGCAGTGTCTTCTCTCGCACATCGCAAAAACCTCCGTCTTTCAAAGCCCGGGAAAGCAAAGCCACTGAGGGCAAAGGTTTGGAAGGGGATGGACGAAGGTCGCAGCCACAGCGCAATCGTGCTTCTTGCAGGGTTATGCCTCTCTGGCTGTGCGTCTCCTAACCCGCTGTGGCCTGCTATGCTGCTGTTCTGGCCAAAATGAAAATAAATCCTGTTGCAGACTTGCGGACTGTAGTCTAATCATGATCAACATGATGATGGGACTCAAAGTTGGGAGCAAGAACGACGTGCAACGAGAAAATCGAGCGAAGCACTACAAGAAGCAACTCGCACAGAACAAGGATGGCTGCAAAATTTTGTTTTACACAGGCTGTAAGTAGAACAGCTGCATGCAGACCGTCCATACCCCTGCTAGCACTGTATTTTAGAACGGCTCCCGAAACTTCTGAGCCGCCTGCCGCAACCTCACACATCCTGAAACGCACAGATTCACCCAAACTCTCTCCGTCGACCTTGATCCCTGTGAGAAGCTGCTGCGCTGTGGTGTTCATCTCTGTGAAGGTTGGAGTTGGGCGATGGATGGCATAGAACCTGGAAGATGGCAAGAGATGCGGCAAGGGTTCAGGGAACTGCGACACTGGGAACCTGGGTTTAGGGCTTGAGCTGAAGGTTTGGTGGGGGCTGCTTTTTGGGATCTCGGGCTCTCGGATGGTTGAGTTCCATGCGCACAGGCTTTGAGATACAAGATTGAACGCCAGGCTGTTTCTTGGCACTAAACACTAAGCAGTGTTTCGAACAAAAGCTGTTCGAACATGTGCTTGCCAGCAGCAGGATATTTGCACAAGAACCTCGAGAATGATTTGCTCTGATGAACCCACGTATCTCAGGTTAAAGCATCTTCCAGTTGCCTCTCAGGCCATGGATGAATCCTAAAACCCTACACCCCGCGGCCCGAACCCTAAGAAGGGGACAGTTCTAAGCTTGAGGCTTCTTGGTATCAATGGGGCCAAGCTCATCGATCGGCTCACCGATGATGTTGATGATACGGCCCAGCCTTGGTGACGAATTGGGGCTTCCGGGCGTTCGGGCTCGGGCTTCGGTGGTCCACACCTGAGAAGACATTAGCATTAACAGCTAAGGCTGACACGTCTGCTCACCCACAGGCACGGTAATGGGGGCGCCGGTGTCAATGACCTTGACAGAGCCATGCAGCGAAGAATAATCTGCTTGAGCCGCCCCCCGTTCCCCCCACACATCAAAGCTGCGGCCGTTCTCGACCTAAGCTTCAAGCCTTCTGCCCACGTGTCAAGCCATCAGTTCCATCCATCGCAATCGTGCGGACCATGTTCTCTCCTGAGCGCGAGCGAGACTGTTGTCTGCTGGACTGCAATTAATGAAGGATTCAGTCTGCCGGCATGGCAGCAGAACAGCAACAACATGATTACCAGCGACCTGGACGTCGTACTGTGATCGTAGCAGCAGCAGAAGTAGTAGTCGTCGTCGTGGTGGTGGTGGTGGTGGTGGTAGTAGTGGTAGTGATAGCAGTAGTAGTGGCAGCAGTGGCGGTAGTGGTCGCGGTAGCGGTGGCAATAGCAGTAGTGGTAGCAGTAGCAGCAGCGGTGGCAGCAGCAGTAGTGGTAGCGGTAGTGGTAGCGGTAGCGGTAGCGGTAGCGGTAGCCGTAGCCGTAGCAGTAGCAGTAGCAGTAGGAGTAGGAGTAGTAGTAGTAGTGGTAGTAGTAGTAGTAGTAGCAGCAGCAGGAGTAGCAGCAGCAGTAGCAGCAGCAGCAGCAGTAGCAGCAGCAGCAGTAGCAGTAGCAGTAGCATTAGCAGTAGCAGTCGCAGTAGCA